TGTGTGTGTGTGTGTGTGTGTGTGTGTGTGTGTGTGTGTGTGTGTGCGCGCGCGCCTCCTCTGTGGTTTGGAGCAATCACAGTCTGACAAATGTCTGTCTGTCTCTCGGAACCATGAACCTTCTTCCCTAGAAAGGAAAATCTTCACAGCAATTTCTCTCCACCATTTCTCTTGCCAAACTTTTCCAAACTGACCTTTTCTGATGCTTTCTTGTAACTCGATGGTCCTGGCAATTCTTCTCTGAACAAGCAGCAGTAAGCCCTTCGTCCCAGGTAGCAGCATCACCGCAGACACCAACACGATGAGAAGGAGCCAGCAATTTGGAGCAGCAGCCTCTGCCTCCATGGTCCCTCTGCCACCGTTTGTGCCTGGGCCCTGGCTGAAGCTTCTCCTTAGCAAGCCTCCTAGGCTGCCCTCAAACTCGGGATCCTCCTGCCTCTGCCTCCTTCAGCAAATCCAACCCGCGTGCACCACCACAACTGGCTGAGTGTAGCTTGGGCCTCAGCTGGGGCTCACAAGGCCACAGGCAAGCAGCTTTTTCATGAATCCGTACCACGAACGTTGGGCGCCACATGTAGCAGGAATCTTAAAAGCTCTCACCAGTTCCTTTTTAAAAGTGTTTTTCTTTGAGTCACAACCCTTTTGGGGTTGCATATGATAACCTGCATTTCAGATATTTACATTACAATTCATAACAGTAGCAAAATTACAGTTATGAAGTCTCAGTGAAAATAATTTTATGGTTGGTGACCTCATCCCCAGAGGTCAGTTTTGGTAGTGCCTCCTTCACACAAGGCCCCACTCAGCCTCCAGCTTTTCCAAGACCAGCCATGGCTTCACTTAACTCTGCACGTGTCTTCTCTCAGACCTCTCCTCCTCCTCCTTCCTCCATCCCTTCCCTCATCTCCATCCACAGAGCTTTCCCTAACCACTCCCTCCCTAGCTAGACAACCTCTCATCACCACTCACTTACATAGGGAGCTCAGAGAACACGTACCTGCAATCCCCTCCCCTTCAAGAGGTGGCTGATAAAGACCTCAGGACCATCCTTCTCCCCACATCTCTCCAATCCTATATAGAATCCAAAAGAACTCTTCCACCTACCCCAGAGATCCCAAAGGGTTCACTGTGGCTTTGGCCTAGGCTGGTAAGACGTGTGTCATTCTTGACCACCTGCTGCATGCACCAGGAAAAGTTCCATGACTGTTCTTCGAAGTCTTACATTGAAGAACACTCCTGGGCAAATGAGATTCAGTCTCGAAATGCAAATACAGCCTAGTCAGGCTCCGCTGCTGCCCCTCTAGGGAAACCCATTGATCACATCAGCCTACCCAAGTAGAGAAAGAAGGAGGAAGGATTCATTGAGGCCATAGGGGTGTCTGTCTAGAGGCAATGAAAAAGGCCATTACTAGGGCCAGGCAGTGATGGCACATGCCTTTAATCCCAGCACTCGGGAGGCAGAGCCAGGTGGATCTCTGTGAGTTTGAGGCCAGCCTGGTCTACAGAGTGAGATCTAGGAAAGACACAAAGCTACACAGAGAAACCCTGTCTCGAAAAACCAAAAAAAAAAGAAAAAAAGAAAAAGGCCATTACCAAATGTACTAACTAATAATTATAGGTAACAATGCAGGGAGCTTCCACACACCCTGCCTACTTTCAATGTAGGCTAGCTGAGATGACACACAAGTAAGTTAATCTAAACCTTGAGAGTCCAGAGGGGCAAGTCATCCTGACTATATACATTTTATATGTTTGGCCTCTCTAGATATCATACAAAAAACTTCAAACACTGGGCCAGGGATCCCAGACTGCCTTTCTTACTTTATTAGACATTGTCTTTAAGATCTTTAGTAACTGTTAGGGGACTCTGGGGGCCAAAAGCGCCAAAATGGGGGAAGAAAGGAGTAATGGATGCCCTGGCCATATATGTCCACTGGTGCAGTAGGAGCACAGAGGTCATAGGAATAACCAACCACTTATCTTTTACTGGATTGAAAGCCCACTCCACAAGATAGAACTCATATCTGAAGCTGTCAATGAGGCCACAGATTTGTGGCTAGATAGGTCATGGGCCAGAAGGAGAAAGCCTACTACTATTACTGCTAAATGAACATAGTTAATAACATAATTCCTAATGACTTGCTAACTATTCCTATAGATTTAGACATCACTCACCCCTCACCAGAAAGGCTTCTTCGTGTAGTGTATGAC